AATATTGATCGTAATAATAATTATATTTTTTGTGTTATTGATCATTATTTAGTTTGTAATTTAATAGAATTGTCTATTTAAAAAATTTGAAATAGTTTTTATTAGCGAAAAAATAATTGATTATAATAATATATATTAATGACATGTGTAAATTAGTGAACAACACAAGTGAAGTGTTATATATTTGTACTGTATTTAATCATAATAGAAATTGCTCATAATTAAATTACTTATTGTTTTAAAAAAACATTATTTGATATTGAATGTTATAAAATAAATAGAAATACATACACTATGACTACTTATATATAGAATTTAAAACCTTTATTAATAAAAATATAAAGAATAATAACATTCCAAATTAATAGTAATATTCACTTTTATTTTATTTGTTATTTAATTTTATAACGAAAATAATTAAAACAAATTTCCAATCTTATAATTTAATTATCATCTTTTTGAAAAAAAACTCTTGGTTGGTTTTTCATTTTCGACTTTATTTTCAATACCCAATAAGAATTTTTTCATGTTCTGAACTATACCAATTGTCTCTTTTCGAGCTTCATAATACGTAAACAGTGGATTATCTAACATATGAAATAATTGATGTGTAAAATCAAATATAAACGTTCTAATAAATTTAAATTTTTGTTCCATTATTTCAATTTCTTCTTTTCTTTCAAATGTAATTTTGCGCTTCGTTTTAGATGTTTCAAATTTTCTTGTGAACCTGTTTTGAGCTTTCCAAAATGTGCCCAACGTTCTTTTAGTGCTTTCTGCAGTCATCCATTCAATTATTGGAATAAGAAATCTGATTGCAGAAATCACTCTTCTTGAACCTGGATGATCAACTTCAAGTTCTTTTTCTAAAGTTTCAAACATGTAACAAAAGTTATTGAAAGTGATAAGTTCTTGTCTTGAAAATGGGCCAAACAAAACACCTCGTGTAAGAAACAATTTTAGTGTTTTCATTTTAGACAAAAAATAATTTATTTTTAAATGTAAAGAAATCATTACATCTCGTAAATTATTGTTTTGTTCTTCTAAATCAACAACTTGCGACTCAATTCTTTGTGCCAATTCATATTCTTGTCCATGAGTTACTATAATAAAACTGGGTTTTAATGGTGTATCAGAAAAGGCAGAAATTACATCAAAAAAACATAATAATAATAATAGCAACATGTAATTATTTTTAAGATCGATGTAATGGTTAAATATATGTAATATTTTTATTAAAAAAATGACACAAAAAAGTTACAGCATTACAAAAAAATAAAAGATATTTATGTTGCTTTGAATAATTGTTGAAATAATTACAATGTTTATAATTATTAAATAAAGTAATCCTATACTTAAAAATTGATTGTTCCAAACAAAACCATTTTCATATATGTTCACTTTTTTATTATGTAATAATAATATTTTTATTATAGTATGGAGAAAAAGTCACACCACATTTTTTCAGTATATAATTCAAGTCAATTTTCGGGAAAAGAAAATTCAAAGAAAAATTCAATTAAAAAATTCCAGAAAAATTAAACAATTTTCTTGTAAAAAAAATGTGGTGTGACTTTTTCACCATACTGTAACTATTTTTTTTTAATTTAAAACAAAAGTTTATATTTTAATTATCATTAAAAAATTTTGTAATAATTCACATGGTATCATTACAAAAATAACCATATATTTTGTAATTGTGTTGAAATTAATTGGCGACATTAAAAAGATATTAAAATGAAACCAACTAATTTTTGAAAATAATTATTTATATCTTATATATATAAATTAATGAGTTACACTTTTTATATTTTAAATATATTTTGTATTTTTTAGATGAAGAATCAAAAAATTGTTATAAACATAAATTATGATTATATTTGATTTTTAACACTGGATTGTATACAGTGATGTATATAACTGTTCAAAAAGTTAGTTGTTTATTTATCTTTTATTATAAATTATTAATGTATATCCTTTATAATATAAAATAAATAATTAACTTTTTTGTTGTGATTATAAAGTTAAAAACATTTATTATTAATTTTTGTTAAAAAAAATTAAAAATAATCTGATTACCAGATATTTGTTGAACACCAGACTTCCGGGTAAAAATTATTTTCCCGTCGCAACCGCATTTTTCCATACCAATATCCAAAAAATAAAAGGTGCGGGCCGGAAGTCTATTGAACACTAATAATAATAAAATCAGTAAATTCAGTGTTTCAACGTTATATGGTCCTTAATAGTTATCTAATGAAAAAAATAGCTTTAATTTTATTTAAACATCGAGCATTAGGTAAAACATAAAAAACTAAACAATCAGGATGGATTTTTGAAGTAGGTTTCCCGAAATATTACAATTTTAATGGTCTAAAAGGTACCAGATAACGTTAGATACCAAATAACGTTTAAGGACAGACTGTTTCAAACAATTTAAACAATTAATATATAATATATTTGAAAATTATTAAAACAATGAGTTTTTTTTAAAATAAAACCACTTTTTATATTATAAAAATATTATAATATACTGTTTATTGGTCAAAAGCAGGGCTGCAAACTTCAATTATATAAGCGTTTTTTTAAAAAGAAAAAAATGGCATTTAATTTTTTTAGATAAATAAAATAATTTTATTTACAAAAGAATATTTTTTGCTCAATTTAATGGAAAAAACATAAAACATAAAAATTCTGCTGTTTTGGGAATTATTTTTAATTATTTGTTCAAAACTATACATTAAACAATTCTAAAAATAATAAGACCAAAAGTATATTTAATAACAATTAATTACGAAAAGACACAAATAAGAAAATTTAAAACATTTAAACAAAAAACAAAAAATGATAAAAACAATTATTTTTTGAGAACAACATTTTGTTGAATGGCATTAATAAATGATAAGAAAAATGTTATAAAATTGATTAAATAAAACTTTTTGTGATTTTATTTAGTGCATGAACACAATTTATAATAAAATGTTTTAATTTTTAAATTAAGTACTGTACTGTTGCATTAATTAACATTAATTAGTGTATTATGTTACATAAATAAATCTTAATACATATTACAATTTAACAAATTGTATAATTATTATCAAATATTAAAATAACGCGACTCAAATTTGTTCACATTAATAGTATATTATGACAACTATGTGTTGTTAAAATATTTATTATTTTATAAAAGATGAATTGACAATTTAAATTTGACACCACTACATATGCATATTTTTATTTGTACAATTCGTTGTGTTCGAACAACACATTCGATAACAAAAAAATAAAAGTTTTTCTTCAAAATAAAATACAATTGTTTACAACTTTGGATCAATTTGAACATATTATTTTCATAAATACAACGTTTTGTTTTGACTCACAAATACAATTTATCTTATTATAAAAATAACATGTAATTAACAATTAAATATTAGAATAAACTAAATAAACGTAATCAAATGAATGTTAAATTGTTGTGTTTGTTATTTTACTATTATATCAACTGGTTGATTTTTATTTCAACTGTATTGTAAATATTAATTTTCATACTCAATATTTTTTATATCGTAATAACAATAACGTTTATCATTCGTGTAAAATTTATATTTGTATTTTGAGTATATGTTAAACAATTATTTAATTCAATGCAGCAATACATCATAATGTTATATGTCTAATATAAAACACTTCAAAGTTGATTATAATAATTATCATTGAGTTAAAGCACAATTAACATATATTGATTAAATACATTACAATTTAAACACCCACTTTTGTTTATAATACGATTGTATATATAATGTTCAAAATTCAGGTAGTTTTAATACATAACTATTATATAAAAAAGAACATTATATCAAAAACACAATTGGAAAGTGGTACAACAATTTGTTTTTTGTTTTTTTTAAATAAAAGATTATTTTTATTATAATTGACTAATGTTTTTTTTGTTTGACATAAACATTAAACTATTACCATTAATTCAATTTACTATGTTTTAAAACTATTAAAAATACATAAAGATTTGTGATAGCTTTTCAAAACTACATAAAACTATATTTTTAATTCCTCATTCTTGATATAGTTTTAATTTTTACCATCACTTTAGAATGTGTATAGTTTGGTCGATTTTGTGGCTAGCCAGTTTTTTCCACGTGTGGCTGACAAATCCTAATTAAATTATATATCAATTAAAAATAATAGTTCCAAACACAAATTCTGGCTAAAAATAATTTAAAATTAACAGGGGTTAGCCACCAGTTGAATCCGGTTTGCAGCCTTGATGGTGTCTAACACGTTTGAATTTCAAAAAGAATAGTTCGAATAATAATATTCCGTTTGTTTGGTTTTCAAATTCAAAATATGCCAAACAATGACCTTGAATCAGTATACAATAAGAAATATGAATCACTACCACTTTTTATAAACCACACTAAAATAGTTTGTTTGTACATTGTTTTCATTTACTTTATCTGATGGAAAAACTACATAAATATACTTAAAATTGATTCAAAAAAGCCCAAACAGCAACTGAAAGCTAACTTTTAAAAAACATCAGTAACTTACACCTAAACCAAGTCAAACTAATAAAAAATTAACTCTTATTTATTTAATAACTTTTTTTATATTACTTAAAACTTTCAAAAATGATTTACAATTAATTTAATTATTATTATGTTAATATTATTTTTGTTTATGAACGTTCTTATTACGTATTTAGTTAAAAAAAATTTAAATGCAAATCAAAATATTAATTAATTTAATATAATAATAATAATTTATTATAAATTTATTTTGGTGTATTTTATTACATTAATTATTTGATTTATATTTAATATTAAAATTAGTAAAAAGTATATTATTATTAAAATAAAAAATAACCAATTATTGCAAGCATAAT